TTTCTCATTTAAAGAAACATTCCTCAATGTAACATTTGGGAGGAGATTCTTTCCTCTTGCCAGGTTAAAGATGTGCTTCGTACCTCTTGTTTGTCCCATTTATATAAGAAAATAGACTTTTAAAACTGTCCAGCACTAACAATTTGAATATTTACATCTGCTATATAACATGCTTTCCATTTTTATGTTTTTCTAGAAGAAGTTGGAAGTTAGAGGATACTGTTTTTGAGGTTCAACTTCATAATCTTCCGCATTGGAAAATATTTGGGTCATGAGAACTAGGAGAAAGAAGGAGCTTGAATGTGTATAGTTTTTTCTACTGAATGTATTTTATCCATATTGTTCTAAACTGAGAGAGAGCTAGAGAGCAAAAAGTGGATATTCGTGAACTTTGTGGTTGGGGGAGAGGTAGTACATGGCTGTGTACTCATGAGTTGGGAGTGGGGAGGATCACTGAAGGTAAAATTGCTCAGAAAGTCCTGAAGTTAAAAACACTTTGTTTAGCTTTGGCTCAGGAGGGTGGGGCTGCCTGTAGAACTGGAAGTGAATAATCTTTTTCAAGCAATAGCAGTGAATGAGTCCCATCTCCAGGTTCCAGGACCTGGAACAGTTAAACTGTTAAAGAAAATGCTGAGGCAGCTTGCATGGTTGCTTCACAGACTTCCACGAGGCTGATTCTGGCTTCAAGATGGAGCATTGGAGTTGTTTTTGTTTTTGTTTTTGGAACCTGCTGTTGCGCTTTGTGTGTTTTGTTTTTGTTTTCTATTTGGGGGCCCCATGGGAAAGAGCTGAACTCTTTCCTTTGTGAACTCCCACTGTGTCCCTGTAAAGTCCCTTTTCTTTCATAATGTTGTAAGTTGCCTTTTCATTAAGCCCCATCACATCTTCTTTACTGTAAAAATATTAAAAGGCTGTTTCCAAGTGGGACGGCTGATGAAGTTCTAATTATTGCAGACATATTTTTGAGATGTAAAAAAATTTAAAATTAAATGATAAGTCTTAGAGGCGAGTGAGGAATAAAATGGATGTAAACATTTACATGGGATGCATTAGAATTCTGCTGTGTGTATTGTCTTTTGGTTGAAACAAATTATGAACAGTGACTAATAATAAAAAGTCAATACTCAATGATTTAAATTTTGCTTCCTCGCTTCTTACAAGTGGATTAGAGAAGCCTTGGATGAATTCTTATTCCAGAGCTTTGAACTAAACTCACTGACCTGTTAATGTTATTTTTACACAGAAATCTCACCAAGAAAGGAATTTGAACAACTTAAAAAAACTTGTAGTTACAGTGAAAAGTACAATTGGAAATTTTAACTATATGATTATTTCTGTGCTTATCTTCTCCACTTAGGTGAATTTTCACATAAGGCAAAGAAATAGCAAGGTGAAATGTGTATTAGGGGTGGTCATGGGTTTGGTTATAAGCTTCTTTTTGTGGATTGTTACAGTATATCTGTGACTAGGAAGAGGAAGGCTTGACCAGTCAAAATGAATTATATTTCATGATCAATTCTATGTGAATTCTTCCATAGAAGTGAGAGTAGTTGGAAGTTGGAAGCTGTAGGTTTTCTATTACTCAGATGATTCCTGACAATCCCTGGATTGAGAAAGGGGAGACTGTGCCAGTTCCCTAATTGAGAAGGAGAAGGATGCAGGCCTTGGCTATTATCAAGTTTATACAGAAGTGCCCTTTGGCACTGTTTGATAAGTGACACTTCTATAATCTTTCCTTATATGTGGCTTAGGTAAAATTCATCTTTGTGTCTAATATTAAATTTAGTTGACAGCTTCATCTACATGTAATTAGATGAAAATACAAAAGCTACAATAGAAAAGTTTAGCAAGTAATAGACTCCAGACATTTACATAACAGTACAATAAGTAGTGTTCAGATTTGAACTTCAGTCCAGGACCAAATTAATTTTTATCATTTTAAGTCTTTTCCAGGCCGTTTCCTCCCCTAGTTCAGTTGTCTCCATTTTCAAAATGTCCAAGGAAAAAATTCCTTCAAATCTTGAAGCCAGGTAAATTCTGCCTGTTTATTTGGAACTAAGATAAGGAATATCTAACTCTGCTCAACCTGTGGTAGAATAACAAGGAATTTAGGCCTAATGATGACATTGTGATCATCGAAGCAGTGGGAAGTAGATATAAATAAGTGAATATAGTAAGCTCTTATGGCTCCTTTACCAAATCTGATAGATGTGAACTTTTCTTCTCCAGCCCTTCTTTCCATTTTGTAGTGAGGATTAGGAAAAGCTCCTGGGATAAAGTGTGTGTATGTGTGTCATTCTCCCTGCCAGGTGGAGAGAGAGGTATGCACAGCTGCTTATAGGAAGGATACAGAGAGGAGGGGAGTCTAATGACTTCTCTGTCTCTTGGCTTGATTCAAACAGTGATTTTTGTAATGATGAACCTGCAGTGAGGGCAGATGGATTTTTGCACAAAAATCCCAGAGGAATTTATTTTTAGGGTTAGTCTCAGCTGTTTATCATTTCCAGAAATTGTAGTTACATAACCCTTGGCATACATAATGCACACTGCCTTGAACTGGGGGAGAACATGAATGTGTGACCTTTGAAACAGTATAAAATGTTAACGACAGTACATGATTTGAAAGGAGAACTGAGAATCAACTGGTTGTCACTACTTACTGAATTGGATCTTAAACCATGGAGACCTTTAAAGAGAACTGCATCATAAATTATCTCCTGCAACATCTGGGTTGGTAGCTTTTTTTTTTCTTTTTGAAAGAGGTACTACTGTTGTTGAAGTAGTAAATACGTAACTTTTAGCATATGCTTGTATTCAGAATTGATGCTTTAACCCACTATCCCATTAGTTAAAAAACAAACCAGTTATCTACTACTGCTCTTCCCTAGCATGAACTCAAATGCTAGTCCTGGGCCAAAGTCTTTCCCTTTTAATCAATAAAGAGCTTCTGCTCATGAGATCTGGAAAAGATAATGTGTGACACCTCAAGAAACAGGCTTTTAGGAACACTAATTCTGAACCACATTTTTATTCTTTCCACTGCCTGTCTGCCCTTGGTCAAGTCCACTTCTGTCTCCATATTGGTGCCTATCCCTTCCACACCAAGTGTTCTTGCTGGTAGAAGTTACCCAGTAAGCAATGAAATGGGAATCCAACTACTTTGAGTAGCTTTCTTGAAAGTAATTTCAAGGTAGAAGGAAAACCCAGGAGCTAGACGACCTAAGAGCTTTTTTCACCTTACACCAGGCTCACAAACCATTTTTAATTCATTAAAATGAGAACAAAGAAAGATTACTGGAGATTGGCATTTTGGTATATACAAAGTAACTCATATAAAGGGAGAAAATAGTGACCAAACTTTTACAGAAGAAATAATTTGTACAGAGTTAGAATCTTTGCAAGAGTCAAATTTTGTCTTGGAATTCAAAATATCTCCGAATGCATACATATCTTAGAGGAGAGAGGGGCACAGACTGCACTGTTAGATCTCAAACACTCTTGTACTAAGCATACAACTAAAATATTCTAAACATAGTTTACTTGGACTAGGAAAGCTGAAGCAATGCATAATAGGTGATACCATCTTTACCAATTATTCAAAGCTCAAGAAATTATGGGGTTTTTGCTGCTTAATACCTTAAAAGTTGCTTGAAGGTTCATCAACATCTGTGTAATGGTGGAAGACCTAAAAATCTGGAAGTTTAGAAAGTTTCCTGGGAAACTTCAGAGCAGAATTAACAAGGACAGTACTTTCTGAGGAATTGAGTGAATCTTAAATTTGGAAACTCAGATTATGATGGCTGCTATGAATCCCTACCGTGTGTGAAGTATTTTGTATGCATTCACAAAATCTTCCTGATTACTAGGCAGATATTAATTTCTATTTCACAGCTTAAGAACCAAAGGCTTAGATCAAGTGACTTGCACAAGGGTGTAGACCTAATAAGAGGTAGAGCTGGGATTTGGAATCAAGCTTTCTGACTCCAAATTTGGCCCACTGGCAGGCCACAAAACTATCATCAATGCAGGAACTAAAAGAAAATAAACTTTTATTTATTTATGTATTTATTTATTTTTTTGAGGAAGATTAGCCCTGAGCTAACTACTGCCAATCCTCCTCTCTTTGCTGAGGAAGACTGGCCCTGAGCTAACATCCATGCCCATCTTCCTCTACTTAACATGTGGGATGCCTGCTACAGCATGCCTTGCCAAGCGGTGCTATGTCCGCACTCGGGATCCCAACCAAACCCTGGCCGCTGAGAAGCGAAACTTGCGAACTTAACCACTGTGCCACCGGGCCAGCCCCTAAATTAACTTTTAAAGATTTTTCTGAATTAGTCTTGCAATAATAAAACGGCTCACAGACCATATTACTGCTTGAGACAGAGAACTGAATTCTGATAATTTTACTACATGAGAAAAGGGAATTAAAATGTGACTGGGAGGTGAGTTGACATTTTGCACATGGGGTTGGGTCGAATTTGCTGAAGAAGGTCTGAGCATCTCTAATAAGGAAGAGAAGGGGCCTGGCTAAGGTGAATATTCTCAACAATTCGTTCAATGGCTTTGCCAGTCAGAGTGACAAGCCAGTTTTGAAGCAGAAAGAGAGGAAATGGAGAGGTAAGTTACAAGAGTTACCCTCTGCGGAGGGCAGCGTCCTATCGCTATCGACAGGTGCAGACCCACCCTGCCCCTTGTCCAGCCCGTACTTAGGAGGCGAGGATAGCAGTAAGTAAGCCTCCCTGCGCCTCAGTCCCCCAAACCGAGGGCGGCCGGCAGCGGAGGCCCAGCCCTGTGGTAGCGCCGGCTCCGCCCGTGGGGCCCGCGGCAGCCAGCCCGCCACAATGCGGCTCCCCGGCGGGCGCCGGGGCCACGCCGAGCCCACGCCGAGCCCGCAGCTACGCAGGTCCAGCGGGGTTACGGGAGGGGCGGGGCCGGGGGCGGGGCGGTGGGCCGCGGGGGGCGGGGCCCAGGGCTGCTCGCGCGCGCCGCCGCGGCTCCGCGCGCCGTCGCGCCGGCCGGGTGTCCCTGTGCAGCCGCCGCCACCGCCGCCGATGGGGGAGGTGGAGCCGGCGCCCGCGGGCCCGCTCGAGCCCCCGGAGCCGCCCGAAGCGCTCGCGAGCCGCCGGCCGGGCGGAATCCGGGTCCTGAAGGTGAGGCGAGCAGGCGAACGGGCGGGCGGGCTGGGGAGGGAGCGAGGGCGGGAGCGGCCATCCCTGCCCCGCGCAGTGGCCGAGGCAGCCGGCGACCCCCGCCCCGCGTCAGTCAGTCCGCTTCGCGGCTCGGCCCTCCCGCAGTCCCCTGGCGCGCCGCGGCCCCCGCCCAGGCCTCCGCGCCAGGCCGCTGCTGAGGCCTCGGCCGCCTCTGTCCCTACCGCTGCCCATCCCTGGCCGCGCGCCACCCGCCTCTCAGGCCCACGCCTTGGGTCCGGCGTCCACCCGGCCGCCGCCGCCCACTCGGCTCCTTCGGGACCCGGGGGCCCGCCTCTGCCGCCCTCATCCGCGCTCTGGGCCGGTCGCTGCTGGCCCGAGAGCGGGGCTGGAAGTACGCAGGGCTTTCTCCCCGGACACCTGAAGACATCACCCCAGCGGGAGGATGGCGGCGGTGATTGGCCGGGCGCCGCGGGGTGCTGGGGGCCGCGCCGGCGGGGCGGGCCGACTCTGCCCGCCGGCTTCCCACCCAAGTTAAGACCCGGCTGCCCGCTCCGAGGCGGCAGCCTGGAGAGAGTCCCCGGAGGAGCTTAGTCCCGGGGAATCGCTGGGCGTCTCGCAGAACGGAGCAGGGGTTGGACAAAAAGGGGCATTCCTGCTTGCGGGAGCGGGGCTAACAATCCAGGGAGACGGTAATGGGGGAGCAGTTATGCAACAGGCAGCTAGCGGGGCTTTTTGGCAGGAATTGGGGGGAGTGGGAGGAAATGAAAGCAGATGCAGGCAAGGGGGAGAGTGGAGCCTTGAAGGTGATGACAAGAAGTTTAAAAACACAAGAAATGCAGGGTGGGGAGGGGACAGTGAAGATGGTTAAAAGGAGGAGTTGTGGGAGACTAACTGGATGGAGTTTTCTACTAGCCTTGAAATCCATAGTTGGAGAGAAATTTTTTCTGTAGGTCAAATATGTAACTAGGTACCCTGGAGATAGAATGGAATTTCTTTTAGAGTTCTAGAAGAGGAATCTGCAGGATTTAAACTTGCCAAGGAGAAGGAAGAGAGAAAAGAAAATTTAGAAGATTTTGTATGTTTTAAAAATACTTTGCCAAACAATAGAAATACAGGATATTAAAAATACATTAAGTAATAGTTGTCACTTGTGATTGAGAGTGAGCATTATGTTCTTAAGATTATTTGTAGGACATCACGAAGATGAGAACACTGAAAAAAAGAATAGATTTGAAGCATCTGGTGAATCCATGAAACAACATAAAATAGAACTCTGTAAAATATAAAACATTTTTATGCTGCTGCCTCCCAATCTTAATGCAGTGATTTAGAGAAATAACTTTTCATAGTTTACCTCCACTTCTGAATACACCTTGTACATACCTGTTGTAACTTTAACCATAACTTGCAAATATAATTACTCAAAGGCTTTTGGATATTTATTTAAAACTCTAAGGTCACAAAAAATGTAAATCGTGAATGAACTAAAAAAAAACGTTCTACTGGCCTGGTTTATCAGAAAATAGCAGGTCTGGGAGATAGGTAATGCCCTCTGGTCTAGAAGGTAAACAACCTTGGCTTTTTTAATAACTTTTTTTTGGCGAGGAGGGAGTGAGTTGTGAGAAGGAAGGAATTGAGAAATGAGGATCTTTATTGATGGTCCTAGCTACCTTTCTATACTTCCAGGAAGTGGTCCAGCCTATCACTGGTTTCCTGGGGTTCCCATCTGGGACCGTTAGAAAGGTTCCAGAAATTGATCTTTAGTATAGTACTGAGCTGGTGGTGTGGGAGGCTGACAGTGTCTAAGGCCCTTGCATCCCTTGCTTTATTGCATATGGTCAGCACTTTAAGTAATCCTTGCAAATAAATGGGATCAGCTATGGAGAATAGGTGCTGTGTGTTCTACATACAGAAGTTCCCTTATAGCTGAGTGGTTGAATTTTGTGCCAAGCGAAACTGGAAAAGAATGAGTAGAAGACTTTTTGAATTATAATCTCCTACTTGTTCTTCTCTGAAGACCCTTTGAAAGGCTTATTGTTCTTTTTTGTAACTCTTTTTTACTTAATATCAAATCATGAACATCATTATTATCAAATAACATGCGTCTTCATAAAAAGGTAATATGACTAAGCCAGTGTACTTTTGGTGCATCTGTATGGGGTATTGGAAAATTTGGTTCAAAATCTGCCCCCAGATTTATTTAGCAAGTTATTTTTTAGAATGTATCCCTTTATAGTTGTAGTTGGACTATAAGTCTAATATTTTTCATACTGTTAAGGATATTGGGAGTATCTTTGAAGCATAAATTTTTCAGATGTTTTCTCCAATTTTGGGATTATTATTTTTTTACTCAGTTTGTGGAAGAAATGAAGTTACAACTAATATAGTCATTGAATGTTATGAGATCTGTTTTTACAATAATAGTTTGAAGTTTTTATCAAAATAAAGTGTGTATATGGTTTTTAAAAATCAATTAATACCCAGAAAGTTTTAATGAACCGAAATATTCTTCCTGTCCTTATCTCACCCCTTCCAAAGTATTCCTTAACATGTATATTCCTGGAGATGAGCCTATAATGTTTTAAAATTTCGAATGCAGGAACATATCTCCTACTTCAGGTTATTTCACATTCTACTAGAACTCGCTGAGTATGGAGAGTTACTTTACCAGACCGTGTTACCATGCATGTCTCAGAGTTCATTGTATATGGGCATTTAATATCCCCTTTGAACCCATCATAGCCCTCATTATCTTCATCTTTAGAGAGTTAAAAGCATAAAGCTGAAGTGGGTACTTAATTCGTGGCTTACTGTGAAGCATTTTGCTTTCTAGAAATATTTTTAAGTCTTAAATGTGCTCTTTATAGACTTGTTTGTTGTGAGAGGTGGTTATAGTTGTGTTCCCTTTTGGATAAGTTTGTCAACAGTTCTTATATAAGAATAATGGAGGAAATAAAATGTTCTCAGTGTAGTAATTCCAGTGGAGTAGTGATGCTGAAAGCATCTCAGAGGACAGTCCTGGCCTTTCCAGCAGTTACCTGATGGCTTTAGGCAGTGGAGAAGGAAGCACTAGGTAATTCAGTGGCTAATAATAGCTAAGCAGTCCATCTAGATTGTTGCTAGAAGGCCATGCTTGCTTGGTATCTAGGCCTTTTCAGTGTGCACTGAGCAGGTTTAAGAGAGTATCTACTAAAGTTCTAACGCAGTGGTGTATCTGTGGGTGGAAAATATCGTATAAATAGGAGATACGTTCTTTGACCAACAACACGTATGTCTCAAAAACGTAAAGTTCTTAAGGAGTTTATAGTCTTAAGGGAAATATATATACACATTTAAAAATGACTTAAAAATCCTTAAAGAAGAAAAATGGATGAGCTAGCGTAATACTTCCTGGGTCTTTCTTGACTTTTCTAAGATTGAAAAAGTCAGTGGGCCATTATGTGACCTTAGGAAATTTTTTCAAAGAAACTTTTTGGTGGTTTTGTGGAATAGTGTCTACTTGCTCTCTCTCTAAATAGCAGTGAGCTAAATTTCTCTCCACTGAGTACAGAATGCAGAGCTTCTTTGTTTAAATGCTACTGTACCATATAGAATCCTGTTTTCCTATGGACCAGTTGATCTTTCTCAAAGATTAAAAAATAAGGAATATTTAAAATTAACCGGTGGTTGATTATTCAGTGGTTAGAATTATTTAGTGGTACAAATGTGATGGCCCCTGTGTTTATAAAATAAGTACTTGAAAGCCCTTTGTTAATTCTGAGATGTTCTGCCTTGAGAAAATACTCTTGATGAGAAGAGAGAGACCTAGATCCTACTTGTAGCGAGGGTTTATCCTGCTTATCTAAAGTTAGAATCAGTAATAATCCTCATGGGTTTGAATAGCTATATTCAAATCCCTAAGATCTGTAAAATGATCAATTTACTTGTGTTATGCTAAATTTAAACAACGCTTGTTTTTCTTTCTTCCCACATGAGAATACCTTCTAATTTTTCCTTCCTCTTTCTTTACCACCTTTAGAAATTGAATTTTAGGTGCTACAATTATCCTCAAATATTAAACTCAGTAATTACAAAAATAATACTTGTGGGGCCAGCCTGGTGGCATAGTGGTTAAGTTTGCATGCTCCACTGTGGTGGTCAGGGGTTCACAGATTCAAATCCTGGGTACGGACCTAGCACTGCTCGTCAAGCCATGCTACGTAAAATAGAGGAAGATTGGCAACGGATGTTAGCTCAGGGCCAGTCTTCCTCACACACATCATATAGACAAATTTGCTTTATTTATAGATATTTCTGTTTTCCAATGAGGAATTGTAGCAAAAGTATTTTATTTACTTTGTGGCTGATAAAAAGAAAAGATTTTAGTGTTCTCAGTAAAAATGGAGATTTTTTTCCCCTAGGTTTGTTCAGCTTCTTGCCAGAGCTCATTGGGCTGAAGTACAGACTGGGAATAAATTTCTGTGATGTCAGCTGAATTCTGCCTTCATCTCTGTGCTACAGGTGTTAAAGCACTATCATAGATTCTCAGTGTAGAAGATAGGAAGAAATGTCAAATAAATAATTAAACCCATTGTGATCCACATAGAAATAAAAGTATGTTCAAGGTGAAGAAGTTCTGCTGAGGAGAGAATAGAATTATTAACTCTTCTAGGTAGGGGGTAGAATGGGGAGGAAGGAGGCTGCGTAGAGAAGGTGACATCTGAGTAGAGTTTTGAAGAATATCTAGTCAGGTGGACAAGAGAATATTTCAGACAAGTCACAGAATTGTGAAATAGTTGGCTTGTTTGGGGAGTTATAAGTAGTTAGATATGACTGAAACAGAGAGAAAGGCAATGGGGAATGATGCCGGAAAGGTATGTCAGTGTAATTGTTAGTGAACATTTCTGTTTTATTAAAGGGAACAGAAATGGCCCATCATAAAAATAGAGCAGGTAAATGTTGATCCTTAAAAACTTGTTATATTGCTGTAGCAATTGTTTTTGCTTTGAGATGATGTTGACTTCACAATGTATATAAATTTCACATGCCTAAATTATCAAATGCAACAGTAATTTTTTTTTGGTGAGGAAGATTGGCCCTGAGCTAACATCCGTTGCCAATCGTCCTCTTCTTGCTTGAGGAAGAGTGTCTCTGAGCTAATATCTGTGCCAGTCTTCCTCCACTTTGTATGTGGGATGCCACCACAGCATGGCCTGTAGGTCTCTGCCTGGGATCTGAATCTGTGAACCCTGGGCCCCCAAAGCAGAGTGTGCAAACTTAACCACTACACCACTGGGCCGGCCTCACAACAGTAATTTTTTTGAAACATGACAAGAATAGAAAGAATATTTGTGTAACATTGTCTTGATTCTGTACTTGCTTATTTGGGATATTAGGCAGAGGGTCAGGAAGCTAAAGAAATTTGGGTATAGAGACAAGTACAAAAATGTTCATTGCAGCATTGTTTCCAACAGTGAAAAATTAGACACAAACTAAATGCCATTGGCAGGAGAATGGATAAATTGCAATGTATTCGTATAACGGAATGTTATTCAAATAAATGAGCTGGGTGTATTAACATGGATATATCTTTAAACCAGTGTTGAACCAAATAAAAAAATTGCAGGGTGAAACATGTTAGGATTTAAAGTTTTAAATCACATAGAACAATACTGTATATGTTTTATAGTTATGTACATATATGGCAACATATAAAAATGCATGGAATGATAAATACCAAATACAGTAGAGTGTTTGTTTCTGGGGAGAGAGAGGGAAGTGGGAGTGTGGTGGGGTACCAGGTGGTTTCAGCTATGTTTGTAAGAATATATCATATATTTTTTTTTTTTTTAAAGATTTTATTTTTTCCTTTTTCTCCCCAAAGCCCCCTGGTACATAGTTGTGTATTCTTTGTTGTGGGTTCTTCTAGTTGTGGCATGTGGGACGCCGCCTCAGCGTGGTCTGATGAGCAGTGCCATGTCCGTGCCCAGGATTCGAACCAACAAAACACTGGGCTGCCTGCAGCGGAGCGCGCGAACTTAACCACTCGGCCACGGGGCCAGCCCCCATATATTTTTTTAAGAATAATCTGAACTAAATATGAAAAGATTAAAATTTATGAAAGTTGGGTAGTAGTAGGTACACAGTTATTTTATTATTGTTGACATTTTTCTGAAAACATAAAGAAAAAAGAAAGGGTCGGAGAAGATGATGGACAAAGTCATGAACAGTTGGCAGTACAGAAAACTAAGTTTCCAGGTTAAGAATGGGCATGGCAGATGGGGAAGCCTCCACGAGAGGAAGTGATACTCGCGCACAGTGTTGGTGAATGTAGAGTGGAAAGGTGGGGTGAGGACTGGACACGTCTACCTCAGTCAGACGTTCTAGCTAATGATTTCTTTCTCTTGATGTTTTTTAGAGAAATATGAAACGCAATGGGAGCAGAAATTGTTTGAATAGGAGAAGCAGATTTGGTTCCCGAGAAAGAGACTGGCTGAGAGAAGATGTGAAGAGAGGCTGTGTTTACCTTTATGGAGCCGACACGACCACTGCCACTGCAACCACCACCTCCTCTGCCTCGTCCTCCTCTGACTTACATCTTGTCCTTTGCACAGTAGAGACCCCAGCATCAGAAATATGTGCTGGAGAGGGAAGAGAAAGTCTTTATCTACAGCTTCATGGAGACCTGGTCAGGTAAGGTTTGAGTTTTACCATTCTATTTCTGCTGCAAGGTAAGTAATATGTGTTCCTGCTTGGAAGTGGGCTTTAGGATTTTAATCGTGCTAGAACTGATGTTGATTATGGAGTTACTAGGCTTGAAAAAAGATTTGTCCTTGGAATGCTGACTTTATGATTCTTGAATTTAAAAACTGTCAGTGAAGGAAAATTTGATAGTTGCTTCATTGGGATTACACCATAGGTCGGATATATAAATTTAAAATAAATATTTTAAAAGTTATTTTTTGAAAAAATAATACATAGAGGTAGAATGAAATTGAAATGTATAAAGGGAAATAGAGTGAGAAGTAAACGTGCTCATGCATGAGTATTTGTATATAAATTTCAAAACTAATGGGGCTATATGCAACACATTGTTGACTTAATCTCTCTTAGAGATCTTTTCATACTAATATTTATATGGTTTCATTTATTTAATGGCTGCATAGTATTTTATTTTATGAGTCTATCATAATTTTAGCCAATCTCCTATTAATGGAGATTCAGATTGTTACGATGTTTTGCTTGTACAAACAGCGCTGCAGTGAATATCCTTGTACCTGTGATATTTCTCATTTGTGGAAGTCATCTGTAGGATAAAGTCCTAGAAGTGGAATTGCTGGGGCAAAGGATATGTGCATTTATAATTTTGATAGATATTGTCAAATTCCTCTTCACAGAAGTTTGGTGAATAATATAAAAATATACCTATTTCCCCCTTACTTTCTCCAGAACATGTTAGTGTTAAATTTTATATATAAATATAGACACATACTCATGCATGAGCGCATACTTGCTTGTGAATAGAAATGATTGTCAACGGTTTTTGAATAAGAGAATCAAAGTCAACATTCCAAGGACAAATCTTTTTTCAAGCCTAATGACTTAGATTTTTATAAATCTGGTAGGAATTTTGTTTTAATTTTCATTTATCTTAATGAGTGAAGTTGAGCATATTTTCATAGGTTTAAAAGCCATTTGTGTTTTCTTTAAAATTTTTTATGTAAACTTGAAGACAAAAAGTATTCTCATAGTAGTCTTATATTGTGCATATGAACTCTTTGATTCAGCTTTTTAAAAATATTACTATTAGTTCTTTGAGTTAGATGGCAAATAAGAGCTCCTTAAGTGCCTGACCATTGACTTTCTCTCCTCCTCCTTCCCTGGAATAAGTAAATGTTTTGAAACCAAATTCAAAGCTGTGGATTCGGTACTGTTGAAAGTGAGAAAGCAAGCTCCCACTTACACCTAAAAATGTGGTAATAATAGTAACACCTTAGCTAAGCTAAAAATTGATGTCATTTTAAAAGTCTAAACTGAGGTTTATTATGTGTTCCTTTTAGGATTTGGACTAATTCTTGAAAAAGTAGATTAGCAGTTGAATGTTTCCCTTGTTCACCAGTTAACTACATTTCCTAAATCCATTTGTAAAACGAGAGGATCAGACTGAGCGATCCGTAGGCTTTTCTAAATCTTAACACTGATTCCGATCTAATTTTATCAGGTGGAAGCCTTGACCTACATTATAGCTGGTAGTGATTGATGGAGTTCCTGTATTTAAATATAAGACTCATATGTATACTAATGCATATGTGTACAAAGATACTAGAAATGTGGAGAAAACCCTACCTGAATTGTCTTGCTCCTACTACTTGTGTAGTTAATCCAGATGTGATATAATTTACTTTTGTGAATCTAAACTACTTAAAATGGAGAGTTTTAGCTCTGGCCTTGATTTTGTAATGAAATAGCTCTCTGAAGGTATAATTGATTAGAAAATAATGAAAACACTATTGAACTGTGATTTGAAGAAATGAATATATTTTCATTGCTGGAGTAGAAACTCAAGAAGTCTTATCGAGCCAAAGAATGATGATGATGATAGATTTTAGCTAACATTAAGTGCTTTCTTTTACTGGTCAGCATGTCTAGTCCTTTACACACATTTTCTCATTAAATCCTCATAATAACTCCAAGGGAGGTAGTATCATTCCTTTCAGATGAGGAAAATTGAGGCTTTCAAGAGATCCCGGTAACCTGTTCAAGGTCAGGCAGGTACTGCCAGGCAGTTAGAATGCATAAATCATTCAAGATAGATGGTGGACTTTGTTCCAAGTAAAGGCACTCCGGCAGAGGAACTGGCACAGGTCCCTTACTCAGTTTCACTATTTAATCATACTTATTTAAAAGATCTTTTTTTAGATCTCTTACTCAACTGTTAACTGCTTGAGTTCAGTCCTATGTTATCTAGTTAGAGGAATTGGTACTTTCTTTGAATAGCCCTTTATAAAATAGTTGATGATCTAAGGCATTATCTTTTTTTTTTTTTGAGGAAGATTAGCCCTGAGCTAATATCTGCTGCCAGTCCTCCTCTTTTTGCTGAGGAAGACTGGCCCTGAGCTAAGATCTGTGCCCATCTTCCTCCACTTTATATGTGGGATGCCTACCACACCATCGCTTGCCCAGCAGTGCCATGTCACACCCGGGATCCGAACCAGCGAACCCTGGGCCACTGAAGCGGAACGTGTGAACTTAACTGCCGTGCCACTGGGCTGGCCCCGGCATTATCTTTTTTAATAACTTTTTTTGCTGCTTACTGAAGTATAATATGTATTTATTGTAGAAATTTTGGAAAAATGAAGACGTATAAAAAATAATAATAATTTTCAATGCTAATGCTTTTTGTAGATGCCTCATTTAATCTTCACAAGGATCTTGGAGGGAAATATTATTCCCATGTTATAGATGAGGAAAATGAGGCTTAAAAAGGTTGTGTCTCATGTAAGATCACTGAGCTAGTAAGTGGTAGAGCTGGAATTTGAACTCTGGCATTCTGACACCAGATCTCACATATTGCCTCCTCATAGCAACAATTTTTTTCCAGATCTTTTTCAAAGTGAGTGTGTATGTAACTTAAAAAAATTACATATTGGGTCCATACTATATATTCAATTTTATTACTGCATGCTTCAGTTAATTTCCTTGTGTCATTAAAAATTCCTTAGACACTAGTTTTAATTGCTACAGAATATTCCATTTTATGGAGATACTATAACTTGTTTAAAAATTGAGAAATAATATGCAATAATCGTTTAGAGGTTGGATTCTGGAATGAGAGTGTGTGGGTTCAAATCCTGGCTCTGACAGTTACTATGCAAGTTATATAACACTCTTTGCCTTAGTTTACTAAGCTGTAAAATGGAGGATAATAATATTTACATTATAGAGTTGCCATGAGGATTAAATTAATTATACACGCTATGAAGATTAAATGAATTAATACTTGTAAAGTAGTGCCTCTTAAACTCTAATGTCCACCTGAGGAGCTTGTTAAAATACAGATTCTGATTCAGTAGGTCTGGAGTGGCGTCTGAGAATCTGTATTAAGCTCTTATGTGATGTGCTAACACTTTGAGTAACAAGGAAGTAAAGTACTTAGAATGATGTCTGGCACCTAACAAGTGCTCAATAAATGTTATCTATTTGGGTTGTTTCACATCATTCAGCTCTTAGAAGTAATGTTGTGATGACTAAACCTTTGCTCCTAAATCTTTACACTGTTAATTTCCCTGGGCTATGTCCCAGAAATTGGATTACTGGGACAAAAATCACCCTATGTTTTTTTTAAATCACCCATGACTTCCTTCTTTCCATACTTTTTTTCAGTCATGGACTTGTCATTTAAGTAAAAGTGAAGGATTACTAGTTATAGAATTTTAGCACTTGAAGGAACTTGAGAAAGATCATCTACTAGGGAAATGAAGTCTACCCAACCTAGCAACCCCTCTACCCCCTGCCCTTTCCATTTGTAAGTATGTATGGGGGCAGGGGTTTTTGGCTGTCACAACTACTGGGGAGAATTACCAGCATTTAGGGGGCAAGGGATAGCGAGGCTTAATGTCCTCAATGTATGGGACAGTCTTGTACAACAGAGAATTGTCTTCCCCAAAAGGTGAATAACTTCCCCCATGGGAATCACTGAGACCATTTCGCTTCGTTTTATAGACGTGAAACAGGCCCAGGGAGAGTAGATTGAAAGCACATTCCTGCAGCTAGCTCCCTGATTCTAAAGGTGTCATTGGAGCACAAGTGTATTGTCTCCCATGTCACTGCTCTTTGCATGATAATGTTTCCTCTGTCTTTTTAGTTGAACTGTTTAAGTGATAAATGGCTCACTAGTGAAGCTTGGTGTAATCATTGCCGTCTGTCTGAAAAGTCGTAACGAGACCTTATGTGACAAAATGGAGTGCCCTTTGGCTCATGGTCATATATTTACTTTTATTCTTAGTCATCATAATGGCTTAAGATTTTTGTGTTTGATAGACAATCTTTTCAGATAAACTAAGACGCAATAAGATATGTATAAGGGAAAATAATACCCTTGGGATTTGGGATCCTGAGTTCTACATCCTTTTCTGTCACTGACTTGCTGGGTGGCCTCTTGCAAGTTACTGAAATTTTGTTTACCATATTTTGATGTTATAAAAGTGGAATGAAAAATCCTGTTTCAGGATACATACTGAACTGATTACTTCTGAGAAAGGAAAAAAGAGGTTATTTTTGTTTTGTGCTTCATATTTCCATACTATTTTAAAACTTTAAAAGAATGAGTTATACATTAAATAATAATTAATATTTAATTTGTTTTTATTAAAATGTTGTTTAGTTTTTACATTTTAGTACTTCTGAAATCAGCTTGTATCTTACAGTTGTTTGTGGATCATAGTTTAATTGGCAGTGTTCTTTCCTGTTGGTTATTACAGTACCATCTGGTTAACTGCAATACAGTCCTGACACTAACCACCCAGAGCTTGCACAGACTCATAAGTTAAAAAGCATGGTCCCTAACAAGACTGCCCTTACTTCAGACTCTGGCCGCACCTCTGACCAACTGGATACATATTTGGGGGTTCTTGTGACCCCCTTGGGTTCAATAATTCACTAAAAGGAGGCAGAACTCGAGAAAGCGCTATACTTAAAATTACAGTTTTAGTAGAAAGAGTGCAAATCAGGACCAACCAAATCAAGAGACACATAAGGCGAGGTCTGGAGGGTCCTGAACTTAGAACTTCCATGCTCTCTCCCTGTGTCACCTTCCCATCACATAAAATGTGTTCACCCACCAGGAAGCTCCACGGAGCTTCAGTACAGAGTTTTTATTGGGGTTTTATTGAGTAGGCATGATTGATTGAATCAGTGACCACATGCTTGAACTCAATCTCCAACTCTAAGGTCGAAAGAGGCTGGAGGAGGCCCAGCCTCTCCTCCCCGAAGGTTGGGCTGGCTCCAAGCCCCAACCCTCTCTTCACATGATTGGTCTTTCTGGTAACCAGCCCCCATCCTGAGTCATCTGAACCCTTAGCATAGACTCAGGGTTGGTCCAGGGAGCTCATGAATAACTAAGATACTCCCGTTACTCAGGAGGTTCCAAGGATTTAGAATCTCTCTCCCAGGAACCAGGGAAAGGACTAAGATTCTTTATTATCCAACAGTGATGCATTAAAAACTAGTATATTTTTAAAATGATAGTGTATTAGACCAATGAAATACAGTAATTTTAAAACATAACTTTTTTTTGGTATGAGTATACTTGAAGTGCTTTGAGCTGTCTTCTGCATAAATTATTTTATTTTTAATGTAGCTTGCCTAAAAGAAGCTAGGCTTTGTAATGAAACTAACACAAGTTCAAACCTTGATGCCATTATGTGCTAATGTATGACTTTCTGAATCTCATTTTTCTTATTTACAAAACAGGCGTAGCTTTGTAAAATGTAAAACACTTCCAGCATAGTGTGAGGCGTCGAGTAGACATTCATTGAAGTATCCTTTTTGTTACTGTTTATATTACTGGTCTTAACATTTTCAGATTTTACCTTTATAGGTGCCAGGGATTGAGTTTTAATTTTGAATTTGATACAGAGAATGCTGCTGTGCTTTGTTAGGGTCTTTGATGCAATGTATTATTCCCTGTGTTGGGTTTTCATAAGGTGTACTTTTGCCTCCTCTTATCAACTAGAATTTTTGTCAAATGATACTTGGGATGAAATTTACTCTTCTCTTACATATATCTTAACTATGGGCACTGTTTAGAATAACTTTAGCTACTCTTGGCTAAGAGCTTTTTAAACTGCTGTTGATAGCATTACTATACTGGATGACTGGTTTGGAGAGAAATAACTATATGCGTGTACGTTCAGACTTACAAGGACTATAGTAGCACCTAGAAGCCTTAGAAGCAAACTAAAACTATTATGAGTAGTCTTATTGTCTCTCCTTAAAGCAGTAGTAGAGATATTTCAAACGCTGAACGGAACGTTTCATTGCCAACATTACTCTCTCCTATACCTGGTTTGCAGTATATAATTTCCCTTTGATTTGTGAGAGATTTAACAAATAGCTAATCACCAGCCTGTTAAACTTTTGGAACTTTGAAACACAAAATTGATCTGTAAGCATGTTGCAGCATTTCCCTCCCCCATACTCTCTATTCTCTTAAGCAGATGAGTTTAATGAGTAAATGGAATTAGTCCTTCATTTTACTTGTTTTTGCAGTTCTTGAAGTATTTCTTGTTTACTCATTTATTCTAAATTAATAAGAGCAGATGTTGAGATTCTCTTGATTTTTTTTTCTTCCACCAGGGAAACTACTTTCTTTAGGCAGAAATTTTTAGAGAGTTTCAAAATCTGCAGAGCCTTTTTAGGAAAGGAAATTTGATCATGTAAAACATGTCATAATTAGGATCGTTCCATTTCTCTTGGTTTTCTAGAGAGAAATTGAAAAATCCAGCTAGTGAGGTTTGGCCTGAAATTGTTATTTCTTAGACCTGAATCTGTGGTCATTATATGGAATTATGATATTTAAATACATTGAACTCTATATCTAAAAATAATAGCAAAGTTCAGGTAGAATCTGCATTATATTAGGCAGGTGTCTTGGATACCTCATGGACTCTTGAGTTCTCAAAGACCCCAAAGATCGTCAGGCCCAACTGGATTCTTAGAGGAATCTATTCTAAAGTATCTGTGACAGATGGCTCTCTAGGGCTTTGTGAGCTATTTTGAGAGGCAGTCTGTTTCATTACTGGACATTTCTAATTATTAAGGTTCTTCCTTATTTTTAATACAAATTTACCTGAGCAGTTTTTTCTCATTGTTCCTGGTCCCGTTCTTTGGAGCAATCCAGAGTAAATCTAATCCTTCATAACACTGGAAGATATAGATAGCTCTTTATGCCCTTGGTCTCCTTGTCTTCAAGTTAATCCTTCAGTCAGTCTTCATGTTACATGGCTGATTGACCCTCCAGGATGCAGTTTATTAGAAGTCCCTCTTAAAATGCATCCTTCTTAGAAGACTTCTACTGTTGTACTGGGAAAATACCCAATGTTGTCATAGCCCTTTGTGAATTTTTATTTTATTTGACTAGAGATTAATTGTGACTGATGTTTTTATTCTGAAAAGTTTATTTTCCGTTTCTGTTAAATTCAATATTTATTGGTCTTTGTAGGCTTTTAGTTCTTTGGTCCTTCTCCATGTAGTAGTTCTGAGTTTATGGAAGCTAAAAGTCAGAACTGAGCAGTCACGAGGGGCCAGGTGGTTGTTTTATTTTTGTTTTTTTTCACTCATCAGTATGATTTCCATTCCTAAATTACAGTTGTTTATATTCAACTCTGTGTAGGAGTCCCATTTCATGATATTTTTTACTTAAATCTTATTCCCAACAGTATTTTCTAGTCCTTTAACCACAAAACACAGATATTCCTCATGTCTTTTTGCCACGGTGCAGGGTGTATCAGGTTTCTTCTAATTAATACAATTTTTAAGTTTTCTAAACAGAACCCTTTTATGACTTAAAGACTAATGTTCTTCAAGACCTTTTGAACACACGTAGGTTTTCCTTTACTTGTTTTTTGGTGGTTGTTTCAGATGGGGAAGATATTTTTATTCTAATTAAAATTTGACTCTGGTCCTAAGAGTTTTTTAAATAATTGTCAGTATGTTATTGAACACTACTAAACACGAGATATTTTGCTAAGCACTTTACAAACTGTATAGTATCTTGTTATAAATAGGTAAATAAATTTAATAACAGCTCTATGAGTTAGGTACTATTGTTATTGCCATTGTATGGATAAGGAATTTAAGACAACGGTTAAATAACTTACCCAAGGGCATGCAGTTGATAAGTGGCAGAACTGAGACTCAAGTCCAAGCAGTCTGACTTTTGAAGCCTATACTCTTAGCCACTGTAGTTACAACTATTTGCTTTCTAATAAAATAATTATCAAAGAGCTGTCTTGCTGTTACTATTGATGTAGCCCCTATCAAAATACACATCAATCATTTTGTTTTTTAAATATTTTTAAGTATTTTAGGACTGTATGATTTTAAAAATGCAGTATCACCAGAGGCCACAAATGATTACTAGACATTCTGAGTTTACTCTAGCTTTCAGTCAGAACCATGTAGTAGAATGATTTCTGGGGAATTATTGGCCCATTCATTCCTAATTTTTATGGAAGAATCATCTATGAAGCCAGTGGAAATATATAGTACCTGGGACATAGTAGGCAACCAAAGTCGACATCTCTAATTGTGTGTGCAGCTTATATGAAATCACTTGTAGCCAAGTATAATCTTTTGTATCTCATAACATCACTGCCTTTAAGTTTGAACTGAGATTCTCAAAGGACCCTGTGGGGTCCCTGAGACTCTTTGAAGAGGTACCTGAGGTCAAAACTATTTCATAATTAAAATAAGACATTAATTTTCCTTTTTACTCTCAGTCTCTCATGAGTATACAGTGGGGTTTTCTAGAGGCTACATAGTGTGTTATCGCAACAGATTGAATGTAGAAGCAGATCTGAGAATCTAGCTGTCTTCCATTAAACCTGCTATTAAAAAGATTTACAAAAATGTAAAACAGTGCCTTTTTCACTAAATTTGTTTTATTTTGGGAAATATATTTTTCAAAAAATATTATTTACGTTAACATATAATGGGTTTATTATTGTTATTTAAAAATGAATAAAATATTTGGAAGTTCTTAATTTTCATTTCTGATTCACTAGACAGCAATAGTAAGCAACAGCTCTTTGAGTTTCTCAAAGACTCTGGAGGGATCCTAAGACCAAAATCTTTGAGCACCACTTGTTTAGATTAGTTGTATTGCATGATATTAAAGAAAATCTTGACGTAGAAGTAAAAATCTAGAGGATGTTAAAAGATTAAAAAAATGAAATGTCATTTTTATTACTTACTAATATTTTTCTTTTGAATTGTGTAAGCAGGAGACTGGAGCCCGCTGAACGACCTCTTCAGATGGTTTATGATTACTTGTCCAGGCTGGGATTTGACGATCCTGTGCGCATACAGGAGGAGGCGACGAATCCTGACCTCGGCTGTATGCTGCGCTTCTATGGTGGTAAGAGTTTGTCAGTGGCTTTGTAGATATGCTGCCTACTTTTAAATTGGTCATTCGTGCCTCATTCTTTCTTCAGCTTTAAATAAAAAGTATTTTATCAAAAGCTGTTTTTAAGCCAGTTAACTAGTGTAGTTGAAAAACGAGAGAGGGGCGTGGTTAAGGGAAGACTTAGAATTATTAGCCAAATATATCTTCCCTTTTTATTTTTTGCTCTTTGTTTTCTGGTGTTTTGCTAATTTACTAGAATTGTTTTATGCCTTTGCCAGAATCTTGATCAAATCAGTGCTTTAGTGTCAGTTATATTTTCAAGTTCCTTATGAAGCCCATGAACTTTTGGATAGTTCAAGAATATTGAGAAGTAGATGGTCATTATCATATACAACTTAACATTTGATGAATACATGTGTCAAATGTATATATTGTTGAATTTAGTGGGCTTGAAATCTAGTATTTTTTACTTTCTGTTCTCTTTTGATGCATTTTTCCCCTATCAACTAGTTTTTATGTGATCACTTCAGTAATAAGGATTGATTTTATAATAATAAACTTAGATTTATTAAAATCAGATATTTTCTGAATATTATTTTCTAAATATACATAGTCTACTAACACTACTACTGAGTACCATTTATTGAATGCTTACCATGTGCTTTTATGCTTATGAATTACCCAATTTACTCATTACAACCACCTTATGCTATAGGAACTATTATCTCGTTTTACAGATGAGAAAACTGAGAAAGAGAAGTTAAATAACTTGTCCAAGGTCATACAACTAGTAAGTGCCATTTAACAACTAACAGTTTTGAATTAATATGACCCACTTCTCAAACAATTGAACTAATAACTAAATTATTAGTGTATGTAGGCATAACCATTTACTAAGATTCCCTGCTCTCATTTCTCAAATTGTTGATTTAATTTCTGTATACTTCTTGATAGAATTCTTGTGACATAATATCACAAGCCAGTTTTATTAATTGTACTTCACAAGAGATTTTATTTATAATTTTTCGTCATAACAATATTTTATGACATGTTGTTCCTTAAAAGTTTGATTTCATTTTGTTTCCATTAATTTCTCTCCTTTGCTGGTTTATGGAGGGAGAATAATTGCTTGATTAAAACTGAGGAAAGTCTTTTAAGATTAATTTAAAGAACACACCCCTCTATTACTATAAAACTTGGTGAAAAAAAAAAAAATCCAGCAACTTGGAACAGTAACATGCTCCTTATCTGATTGTGGTTGAACATGAGTTCTTCATTATATATTTTCATTCTGGGATGAAAGTTGAGCATTAAAGTGCCAGTGACCTCATTTTTAACCATTGAGATTGCGTTTGCATTCAGTTATATTGCAATTTTTGGCACTGATTACATTAATTTTCTACCACCACCTGATAAATTGTAGCATGCCCAGGATCTTAATATACCTGTAAGAGGATGTTTCCAGTAGAGTCTAAAGAGTACCGATTTGTAGTACTTATTGTATTTTGGGGGGAATCTTTCCAGAGAACATTTCCAAAAGTAAGCTCTATTAATTTAGAGAAGCTGGTTTAATTTGAGTGAGAAAATTATGTTTGGGAAAGAAGTTTTTACAGCTAATTATTTTTTAAAATAATTATTTTTGGAAAAAAAAATATATATGGCACCAAAAACAAAAGGTAAAAAAAATATATATTGATAAGTCTATTAGTTATCTCTTGGCTATGTAACAAATTGCCTCAAAACTTGGTGACTTAACAAGATAGTAAATATCTTTATATTTACTGTTGGCCCCGTGGTCGAGTGGTTAAGTTCTCGCACTCTGCTTCAGTGGCCCAGGGTTTCGCCGGTTCGGATCCTGGGCACAGACATGGCACTGCTCATTAGGCCACGTTGGGGTGGCGTCCCACATGCCACAACTAGAAGGACCCACAGCCAAAATATACAACTATGTACTTGGGGGATTTGGGGAAAAAAAGCAGAAAAAAGAAAATTGACAACAGTTGTTAGCTCAGGTGCCAACCTTTAAAAAAAAAAGATAGTAAATATTATCTCATACAGTTTCTGTGGGTCAGAAATCCAGGAATACTTTAGCTGGATGGTTCTGGCTTGGGTCTCATGAGATTGTAGTCACTCTGTTACTTGAAGCTGTAGTCATCCCAAGGCTTGAGTGGGGCTGGAAGATTCACTTCTAACATGGCTCACACATCTAGCTTTTGGTAGAAGGTCTCAGTTCCTCACCAGCTTTGGCAGGAGCTTTCAGTTACTTGCTATGTAGACCTCTCTACAGGGCTAAGTGTCTTCACGACATGGCGGCTAGCTTCTCCCAGTGATGAAACACACACACTTGAGGCCTCAGTGTTTTTTATGACCTAGCCTCATAAGTTACCATCATTTTCACCCCTTTCTGTTTATTAGAAGTAGGCTACTAAATACAGTCCACATTACAGAGAGGGGAATTAAGCCCCACTTTTTGAAGAGAGGTGTATCAAAGAATTTGTGGACGTGTCTGATAGCCATCACAAAAAGTCTGCTTCCCTCTCACCTTGCTCCTCCAACCACCCCGTTCCTAAATCCAGAGACAACCACTGTTAACAGAAGAAAAGATATTTTTGAGGTATTCTCTTTGAAGCAAATAGCTTAGTAATCAGCTTTAAATGTTTCATGTGTAGAGTTTTTGGTGAGTTAACTTAGTTGGAATATAGTGTTAATGAGGCCAGGGTCATAAGGGCATAAGTTCAAACCAGTTAATGTTGCTGTGTTTGCAGGATATAAAAGGTAGCTGGTACTCCAAGCAGCCATTATGCAAATGCTAGTTATCACTCTCTGGAGAGGAGGTGCTGGGGGAAGAGTGAGTGAGATCCCTGGCTCAGTGCAAATTCATGATATAAAAGCTGTGGAGAGAATATGTTCAACTAAAGATGAATGGGTAGCGTGATCCATTGTGGAGATTAAGAGAGCACATTAATCAACTCCTTATTTGTGTATGAGGAAGCAGAGTCTAGAAGGTGTGATTTGCTGGTGAAGTTGTAGTTCTGGGACTGTATAGCTCAGGTAGCACAACTCCCAGCCTGAGCATTTCTTTCTGTGATATTCTCTGAACACACTGTTCAAGACAGTTTTGCCCAAAGAGCATAAACACCACCAAAAAAAGCCAGATACAAAAGAATCACATGGTATGTTTCCATTCATTTAAAGTTGAAAAGTGGGCAAAACTCCGCCATATTGTTTAGAGATATGTGGCAATATTACTCTCTGCCCACCAAAATCTGTTCTTTCCTTCTTCCATAATGATAGAATGGTAGTTGGGCACAGACAGCTCAGTTGTACCTCATTTCCCAGACTTTCTCACAGTTGGTGTGCATGTGTGACAGAGTTTTCTTCAGTGGTGTGGAGTGGAATTGTTGTGTGCCACTTCCACACCTGGTTCCTAAAACCTCCCACACATGCTTCTTAGTGCTCTTTTCCTCTTCCATGGGCTAGGATGGCAATCATCAGAGCAATATTTGAAGTCACGTTGAAAATGGCAGAGCCGCCATCAGCCTGAGTTTCTTGATAGTGTGGCCCCCTGGCAACTCACAATCACCACCCTAACAGAGTTAAATTTCTATTGTGTTTGAGCCATTATATTCTTTTTGTTATAGTAGTTTAACCTGCTATAACTAATACAGGATGCATAGGTAAGTGGCAAAAATAGAGAGAAAGCGAGGAAATGATCATTATAAAAGTCAGGAGAGTGGCTGACCCCTAGGATGGAAGAAGGAAGACGTGATTCCTACAAGTAGAATTTTTGAGTCACTACATACAGTAGTCTGTCCTTATCCGTGGGTGACACCTTCCAAGATCCCCAGTCGATGCCTGAAACCACAGGTAGTACCAAACCGTATATATACTATGTTTTTTCCTATATGTACATACTTATTTGAGGTGTGACAGCAAAACTAGCATGAATTTCTTTTTCCTTCTTCACAGTTTCATGGATAAAAAATTCATTCTTAGCGTAGACCTTAGCACACTCAGCACACGATGTTTTTCTTTCCTTATTAAGTCGAGAACTTTCACCTTTTCGCTTAAAGGGAGCATTCTCTTGGGCATATTCCAATTGCCAGCATCACTACTCTTGCCTTTTGGGGTCATTAAGTAAAATAAGGATACCTTAAACAAAAGCCCTGCGATACCATGACAGTTACTCTGATAACTGAAATGGCTACTAAGTCACTAACAGGCCGGTAGCATGTACAGCGTGGATACACTGGACAAAGGGATGATTCACGTCCCAGTGGGATGAGGTGGGATGGTGCAAGATTTCATCACGCTACTCAGTACATGCACAATTTAAAACTTATGAATTGTTTATTTCTGGAGTTTTCTATTTAATATTTTTGGACTACGATTGACTTTGGGTAACTGAAAGTACAGAAAGTGCAACTGTGGATGGGGGACTACTATATACTTTAAAAATTTTGACTAAATATTCCTAAATTGCACAGGTGGGTGATACCAATGTACATTTTAATCAGTAGAATTTGGGAGTACTCATTTCCTTACACCTTTGCCAACATTAGGTATTATTGTTACAATTAATCTTTGCCCCAAATTGCAAAAAATACTATCTCATGTTAATTTGCATATTTTAAGCTTCATTGTTAAACTATAGGAGTAATATATTAAAAAACATTCCACCACCCTCATACAATTACTTTTATGATTGGGCATTTTCTTAGTCTTATTTTATATGCATGTTCCACATTTGTAATTATTGCATCCATACATTTTTTTCTTTTTAAAAATTTTATTTTTAATTACACAAGTAAACTGTGAATATAGTCTCATTATCTGTTGTGTTTTAATTTCTTATAGTCAGTTCCTGAGCCCATTCACTGCTTAATAGATAACCACTACAGTCATGTGCTGCATAATGACGTTTCACTCAACAACAAACTGTATATATGGTGGTGGTCCCGTAAGATTAATACCGTATAGTCTAGGTGTGTAGCAGGCTATACCATCTAGGT